AACAGCATTTCTAGTAATGATAAAGTAAAATATATATATAAGATTCCTTGGTAAACTTCAAGTAGAACATTTCTTGCCGATTTCAGGTTACTGCATTGTATTGTCATGGGTTCAAGAGATTCGGTAGTGGCGTTCATGTTGCATAAATCATTTTTACGGGCCGTAGGGCCATGGTTACCGCGACTTTCAGATTTGAATGCTGGTGCTAAAAAAGGTTTGGGTTCGTCAGTTGTGGGTTGACGTGGGGTAGGATAGGGTGGGGTGGGGTGGGATGGGTTGGGGATTGGTGTATTGTGTGAGGTTGAAGTTTCTGTGGCACTTGTAGTATGCTCAAGATTTTTGTGGTATTTGTGATACAAATACTGTTTTTTGTGATACTTGTAATATGCTTGGGGTCTTTGTGGTACTCATGGTCTGATGGTTCTGAAAGTAAGCAGTTCAACTTTGAGGCATTCCATTTGTTTAATTGTTCCCGTACAGATTTTTTAAATTTAATATATGCGTCTTGCATTTGTTTTGATATCAAATAAGCATAGGATAATATGAGAATGGAGAGGTAAATTTTTTCACTTGTGCAAAGTTACGTTATGAAGATATTGCCGATTGTATTTCAGGATTAGCGTTCGAAAATTTGGATCATAGTAGCACTTCATGGCGGACAGCTCCTGGTATCGAGTTGAGCGTATTCTCTCCGAGAAATACGAAAGAAAAGGCGCTCGGTTGGAAAAGTTCTACGAAATTTTATGGGCGTAAGAGTTTGTAAAATTTATAGATATTTTGAATTGATTATAGTTTTAGAATATTTCCATGGTAAGAAAATGAATTTTTTTTTCTAGTTCATTTTGTGAGGCAAACAACACCAAAATCATCATTTTAACTATTTGAGGGGTGTTTAAATATTCTATTTTGCAATAACATTTATCGGCTCGAAATAGTTGCTAATATCTCGAAAAGTATCAAAAAAAAATTGGATTAAATTGTTTTCATTTTTTGGTCCATATTTCTTTGAGTACATGACGTAATTAAATTATAAATAGCACAGTTTTTGATAGAAATTATCTGTAGACCTACATGGGAACCAGCAAAACGAATCAATGCGCAGGTTCCTTTAATTGTGGAAGCGTATGAAAAGCAAAAGCAAAAAGGTCCTGCAAATGACAAATCCGGTGAAACAAATACTGAGCCTCTTGAAGGAACTGCCAAAAATGGTGCACAAAGCTCTAAACGAACTCATAATTCGGTCATTATTCCAGCTTATAATTATTTTAACAAAGAGGCACAAGAATTATTATGATTAGATAATTTCATGAAATTTCTAGTCTTTGGTTCCATTGTATAGTTGCGGAATAGTATATCCTTACATCTTCGTTATCATTAAAAATGAATTCAGAAGTGAAGGAGATTTTAGTATATCAAATGAAGTAGATATGAAGTAGAATGATAGTTCACCAGTTATTGCATTGAGACAGCTCTGTTGCAGAAAAAGATCAAGATTGTTGGCGTAGTTAGAGATAACGGACGGAATGTTAAAAACTCGACATTATTAGTTGAAAAGTAAGTTCTTTTATTGGCTTTCATTGATGTGTTATTCTATGTTTATTATAATTATGAGTTCCTGAATTCTTAAAATCTAATCATTCAATGTAATATGCCATTCGTGTTGACTCAGCTTTTTGCTGGACATAGTAACATATGAACTACTTGAAGGAAGTGGTACTATTGTGAGACCAATTCTTTTAATCCGATGCTAGTTGATGCTAGTAATCAGTGTAATTAGCAGTTTTTTCTTCTAGCCAGTGTAGTGGTGAACAATGGTGTATGCGATATGAAGATATCAAAAGGGATTATTCAATTGAATTGATTGACTTCTTTGAGGAATGCGTCTCTGGTTTCACGTGATCTCACAGTTATCACGCTAGTAGTGTCAGTTTTCTGTTTTAATTTTTTTGGCCAAAAATGTTTTTTGTTTACAGTAAGGTTACTCAACGATAACGGAAGGCAAAAGCAGAGCTGTTGTGATTTTGGTAAATACTATATTCTTGTATTATAAACATTGAAATTTGAAAATGTGGAGATTGAAATTTGAAGGCCTATTGTTTTCTACCGTTTTATTTGCAGTGCGAGTTTTATGTGTTATCGTTTATTGATTCAATTGCTATTGTACATAATGATCGTTCATTTTATGGTTTGTTCATATCATTCCTGAAAAAGGTTCTTTCTCTCCTTTCTACAGCTCGTATCCTGCCCCAAGTAATTGTCCTCAAAAATTTTTCAGAAGTGGAAAGATTGGTGCGGTCACATTTACAAATTTTCTTTTAAAAATATCGTGTATTTATACAAAGAGTAACTAAGAATGTTCGTACAGTAAAGGGTAAGATTTTTTAAGTGTTTTTGAGAGTAATTCTGAATTAAATTATTGGACGACCATCTGTAAATAGTGTTCACTGGATATATTTGAATTTCAAAATTGTGAAATAAAGATAATAAAACCACAATGGTAAAAGGTTTGGTTCTTTAGAAATATGGGTAATTTTGGAGTTTGTTAAGGTGAATGTTAAGCAAGATTTTAATGGAATTATGCTTCTGGAAAATTATATTAACACATGCCACCAAATAGATTTATCCATCTACAAGTGTCTTTTATGCTCTACAAGTGTCTATTTTGCTATATATTTTTTTTCCTGTTTCAATTGTTAATTTTAGTAATTTGGATTTGCCTCCTACTGTTTGATGTGCTCTGTTTCGAAATCTCTACCTTATTCATTTGTGAAGAAATCGCTTTATACCACTCTGTTTTAAGTTACTGTGATTAAGTTCAGAGAGAAATACAAAAAATTGATAATATTTTATGTTAAACTTTTATTACATTATTTCTGCACCGTATTCCATACGCCTATTGCATCCTAAGATGCGAAAAATCATTCACTTAATGAAGCTTAGATATTTGAAGAATTGCAGAGTAAATTGGTTTTAAGATACCGTAGAAGTCATAGTTGGCGTCCTTTCATGAAGGTACCTCAGAAGAGATATGACTAAGGGCAGGAATGACTGGAGAGCTTAATAAATTTAGTTCAATATTGAGAAAAATATTTAGCTTCAATCGTTAGAAAACATGCAAATTAAACATCAACATCGCATGCTTAAATATCCATTTATAACTCCGGTAATTTTTCCGACTTTTTTCGGGTCACTGCAGAAAGTTAAATCAAAATCACTAAATAAAACATTGATTCCGACTGATCAGAGATAAATCCTGCAATCTTTCTAACCCATTGGTCATTCTGTAATAAACATATTTTTAGAGTTTCATATTGAGGGGAGCAATCTATAGAGGCAACATTGACAGACGTACGTAAGGAAGTACACATCTATAATAATAACAATATGGTAAATCAAACATATTTAAACGCTGTAATCGAATAGCAACCTGTAATATACAACGAATAATCAAATACAATAACACTTAAAGTAACACATATCATCGTGTAATCGAGATCGATATTACATGATCCAATTTTTTTATTTTGGCCCTAGTACCTTAAAATTTGAGTGAATTATATTATTTTTCTATATTTAAAATAATAAAAGTATAGTAAACAAGGGTGCGCATACCATTTCAATTCGTATCCTTCCGAAAGCTTTTTTGCACCTAATTCTGGTGACCTTTTACTTCTTACTCATTCGATTCAAAAAGCAAGTCGAATGACTCTCATCAAATTTCTCTTACTATTGTATATTCTTTCACAATAAACGATATAGTAAAAATTTCAATATTATTATTCCTAAGTAATACAATCCTGCTGCTTTCTTTTCACTAAAAAAAATTTTCGTTTTTGAAATTATTTCAAATTGTTTGAGGAATATTGCAGAAAATAAAATGTTTCAATTACGATCATTTCATAATACACAACAAATATTTAGTGAATAACTTATGAATTTACTTATAGCGGTAATAATAAATAGTTTTTAGTATTAATAGTAGCATAATAATAAGTGGTAATGATAATAAAAATAATTAATGATAATGATAATCATAATTGGTGATAATGATAATAATAACTAGTGATAATGATAATCATAGTTGGTGATAATGATAATAATAATTAGTGATAATGATAATGATAATGATAATGATAATGATGATGATAATAATAATAATAATAATAATAATAAT